CCATGTTGGCGAGCTGTAGCGAGTTGGCTGGATTCGGACACTACAGTGTGCACGTGTTGTGACTGAGGAAATGGAAAGGAAAGTGGTAATCGATGCCACCCATGTCGTGGCGTCATATCTTTAATGTTGAGTTGTTATCGTGGTAGCAGTTGCTCCACATCACGTCATCAAGGATATTTCCATAGAAAGTATGAGAGACGTCGTAATTTTCGTTCGCTACAACATAACAATGAAATTATATTGCACATATTAGCACAATATTTACCAAGCTAACACGATATTTCCCAAGAAGAAACAAGAGTCTTAGGGAAATGCTTGCTAGCAGCCACCTCCCTGCTATTAAGGCATGTAAAAGGCACCACAAGCTTTAACACTCATCCCTAAGTGAGTGAAGTTGATATGACCCATTTCCATCAGGACATATTCACAAACAATTTTTTAAAAACCTGCAGCACTCACAACGTGATAAACTCCATTGTTTGTAAAAAAAAAAAAAATACAAGAACAATTGCGGAACATCCTTTGTAAAGGGGTGAGTGAAGTTGATATGACCCATTTCCATCAGGACATATTCACAAAAAATTTTTTAAAAACCTGCAGCACTCACAACGTGATAAACTCCATTGTTTGTAAAAAAAAAAAAAAATACAAGAACAATTGCGGAACATCCTTTGTAAAGGGGACAGGTTTTCGCCCTGGGGAACGTTTTAGAGAACACATGTACAGCATAAATAAAAGGGCTCTTTATCCCGTTTCTAAACATTTCAACAGTGCTATTCACAATCTAATAGTGTTCATTGCAGTTACTGGTATTTTGTAATTAAAAGATTCGGTACGTTGACTTTATACCGTGTCAATCAAAGTCGAAAATGTATATATAGCTACAATGTTTTTTTTTTCCCGGTAGGCTTTAAAATTGTAGTTCCACCAACTTCATGTGACTTTTTTTTTCTTTCCGTCGTCTTTGAAATGGTAATAGGTGGGAAAGTGAATGTATTTTGTGAACTTTAATTTACTTTAATGTTATTAGTAGCGAATAATAATGGAATTGTATATCTTCTGTTTTATTTAACACATTTCTTTTGTACCATTAATCAAACACGAATAATACAAGATTCTTCATTCTCTACATAACAAATTTCATAAGTTTCGCACATACCTTTCATTGTCGCCAATCAATTTTTGAACCCTGAACCCTGATTTAAAATCAAAACTCTTTAAATTGTAGAAAATGCATCAAGAATTACCTCAAGTTGCAGTTTTCAGAAATGATTTAATTAAATTATAGTTCTTAGAACTAAAACGCGTTTTTACATAGTTTAGGCTCTTCGTAAAACTTCTTTCAAAATAATAATAAATCGTAATTGAACTTAAAATTCTCATTGTAGTAATGAAACATTGTTGGTCATAAGTGGGGAGATATCGGTAATTATGAAGGATGTTGCGAAATGTTTTTGATAGATGTGTTCCTGATTTTGTGTGGCTGGAATATCTGGATCCGGAGATCCCGGTGGTGCGAGGAAAGCGTTTGGGATGTGAAAAGGCTTAATGAGATGGCGCGTGTTGTTGGTGTTCCGTCGAGAGTTCACCCGAGTCACGCCGCACACATTATTAGTCAGACGATGGACTCACCATGGTGCGGCCCTGCGTGCGGTCCTACGGCGTCACTGCTGAACGCCCATTCAGACCAGCGTCTGCTCTTTCAAAAGGTATAGGGCCCTGTATGTCTAGTTTCCCAGATTTCCAAAGATTCTAATGTTGCCAATGTGATGTTTTGTGAGAGTATACACTGTCGAAGTCGCCGCGTCTGCTAGATTTGCTTAATTGTGTGCTATGGTGTGTTATATTGTTTTAAAGTGTGTTATAGAGTGTTATAATGTCTTATAGTGTGTTATGGTGGGTTACATTGTAATGGCGTGTAATAGTATGTTATAGTGTGTTTATTGTTATAGTATTATATTATATTATTGCTATTTTTATAGTAAAAAATGAAATTAAAAAGTATTTTTTTTTAAATTAAAAATTTCTAAAACTCTAACCTTGGTCTGCCCACTTACCGTTAAAGAAAAAAGCCACGTTGCATCTTCTAAACAAAAGTTATGTGAGATTCAGGGTTCGAGTACCGGCTAAAGAACGAGTGACAAGTCAGCCAGATTTATTGAATTTTTGTATTGTTCAGAAAGTCATGGAGCGGCTTATTACGCGCCAAAACGTGCGCATGACAGCGTTCACCGTGCGAAGAAAGCGGTGCAACGCCTGCATTGACCTGAGTCAGCTAAAACGACCCCCCCCCCCCCCCCCCCACGAAAAAGGATTTTGTCACTGGAAACTTCCGGTCCCGCTGAATGGAAAGCCATCAATCATCTCATGTAAGAAACCTGACTTTTTGAGCAAAAATTTTTTTTAATATTTTTGATGCACTAAATGACTGCCTTAAGATCTTAAAATTATTCAAATTCTCTAATCAATCTAGCGTCTATAATTCCCATTAGGGAGTGTTTATTAATGCATTATTAATTGAACTAGAGGTTCTCCGTTGGCCATAGGTGCCCACACTATACACCATAATAATTAAAATTTAAAAAATAAGCTTCAAAACAGTGGTTCTAAATCTATGGTAAGCTGGGCTTCTGTGGCCTTGCGTTCAGTTTCGTAAAGCAAACCAAGTCAAGTACTGATTTGACTTTAGTGTACATAACTACCAAGTGCTTGTCTGACTTAAGTGTACTGCTGAGGTTACTTTATTGTACATAATTATCAAACAGCTGGTCTGATTTTATTGTTCATAACTACGGAATGCTGGTCTGACTTTAACGTACATAACTACCAAGTAGTTTCATGTGTTCAAAAAATTTTAAAGAATCTCTGATTTCACAATTTGTAATGTTCTTTACTTTTTGTTGTTATTTTTTTAAAGCATACAGACTTTTTGGTCTTTCAAAGTTTGATTTTTATAATGTTATGTCTTTTACTCGGATTTTTGTTTTACATTTCGATAAAGACATTTATCACTCATCAAATGCCAAAGTTTCATTAATCACCTATTGCCCAAGCTGCCTTTGTCATCTATTGCCCAAGCTGCATTATTCACATATTTCCCAAGCTGCATGAGTCCCCTATTGCCCAAATTGAATTAGTCACCTTTTGCCCAAGCTGCATTAGTCACCAATTTCCCAAGCTGCATTAGTCACCAATTGCCCAAGCTGCATTAGTCACCAATTGCCCAAGCTGCACTAGTCACCAATTGTCCAAGCTGCATTAGTCACCAATTGCCCAAGCTGCATTAGTCACCAATTGCTGCCCAAGCTGCATTAGTCACCAATTGCCCAAGCTATACGTGTCACATTATTCCGAAGTTCTTTCAGTCACCGTTAGCTTTATTTGTATTAGTCACCAATTTTTACATGTGATCTAATCACCAGTTACACCAGTTCGTTCTAGTCAATGATTTCCCCAGTTGTTTAGTCACCAATCACCCAAGTTGTTCTAGTCTCCAATTGCGCCAACAGTTCTAGTTACAATTTTCCCTGTTATTCTCGTCACCAACTGCTTCAGTTGTTATAATCGCCAATTGCCCCAGTTGCTCTATTCACCAATTATCCCAGTTGTTTTAATCACCAGTTGCCCCACTTGTTCTTGTCATCAATTTCCAAAGTTGTTCTAGTCACCAATGGCCCTAGTTGATCTAGTCACCAATTGTCGAGTTGTTCTAGTCACCAAATGTCTATAATTATTCTAGTGCCAATGGCGCAAGTTGTCATAATCACCAAATGTCTACAATTATTCTGGTGCCAATGGCACAAATCGTTCTGGTCACCAAATACAGCAGTTTTATTGGTATATTTTTTAAACTAAGTTATTTTAGTTACTTTTGTATTTTAATGGACTTGGCCTAGATTTTTATTTTTTTTAAATGTCTCTTAACAGAATTAATTTTAAAACAATCAAAATTCAAATAATTGAGGGAAGAAGAAATAAAATAATTCAATTAAAAATACAGTTTGGTGTCGAAAGGTTATGAAAACATATGTTATATGATAAATTCCACAGAAACAGTGGAAGGGATATCAGATAGCCTATAGGACATCTCTTAAGTAACTATAGACAGTAGTTTAAGGTACAATCTCGGACAGCTTGTAGCAATATCAACGCCAAATTTCACAGACCCTTAATTGGGTGGGGGGGGGGTTCTTGCTGACAAAGTTTTGTTTGGACAAGTTCAATGTTCTGTGGAGTTTTCAAATTATCCCTTACAGTCGTGTACAGTTTGTAGCAATATCAACGCCAAATTTCACAGACCCTTATTGGGGGGGGGGGGGGGTTCTTGCTGACAAAGTTTTGTTTGGACAAGTTCAATGTTCTGTGGAGTTTTCAAATTATCCCTTACAGTCGTGGCTCTTATTCTTTAACATTACTACAAGGGATCAGTATCAAGAATTAATAATTTGAGTGATTCTTCAAATCATCTTTGAAATTTTACCAGTGACACGGCACATAAATGCATTGTTACTAGTTAAAAAACCGTTGATGGCTTGTTAGAGGAACCACTGATCAGAGCGAGCTCTCCTCGGTTGCCTTCCTGATACCGGATTTTGAGCGAGTTGATTCTTTCAGCATTACCAAGTCTCCGCGGACAGTAGTGGTCAGACGTGGGTCCAGACACTGGACACTGACAGCTAATCACGTGGCCAATCTGATTATCTGATAGAGTATCGCCACTTGTGTCCGAGGGTTCTCCGTCGGACAATGTCCTCTGGCCTACACGGAATATCGTTGTCACGGGTGGACCACCATGTCAAATCTAGGAATAGCTTTGCCAATGTTGCACGCTATGTTTAAGCAAAAAACACTTTTAAAGATGAAATGGGGTAATTTAAGGCAATGTATTTTTAGTTTATGCGAAAGAAAGACTAAAAGTAGCATTTAATTTTCATTAGTGTTATATTGAGAAGGTATTGATTTTGTTTTACTGTTTACCGATAAGTAAAAAGAAATCCAGTCCGGAATTACTAACTAAAAAGTTGATTGATATTGTGGGTTGTTTTGTCCGTTTATTCCAGAGTTAAAGCACTTTTTAATCAGACTTTTGAGATGACTATAAACATTTTGGTTAAACCTTTTAAAAGGTAGTTATACCTTTGTGGTGATTTAAAATATGTTGTCTTAACACGTTGGGTAACTCAAACCTCTGGCTGGAATTAAAACTTTATTCACGTTCAACAACTCAATTTTCCCCCCTTCCAAATGGTTGCTTTAGACTCTCGTTTCAGCGTGAGTACTTTCTGTAACTCCTGCTTGTACCTGCTGCTCATGCTGTAGTACACAAAAATATTGGCGGAGGCGTTGAGGGTCTCCGCGAAGTAAAGAATGGACACGGACACCTTGAAGAGGTTGCTCTGGTCACCGTCGTAGCGGAGCTCGAGATCAAACAGCATCCACACGAACAAAATCTCACACGGCAGGTAGCAGACGATGAAGATGACCGAGATGAACAGCACCATCTTCTCCACCTTTTTATCCTTTCCCGAAGTCGTCGGGTTCGCCGTCCCCGTGGGGTAGGCGGCTGCCGACCTCCTCCACTTTGACTTCAGGTTCAGCTGGACCACGATGATGGTGGTGCAGACGACGATGATGATGAAGGATGACACAGGGATGATGTTGTTCACCACCGAAGATACCGACTCCATGACGTCTCGGAGGTCATTGTACGTCATGACGATCAGGGTTCTGTTGCGGTGGAGTGAGAACTGCTCGGTGAGACTCGCCGTGCAGTAGATCGGAAACACGCTGGCGTACGCTATTGGGAACGTGGCGACAACGATGAGGCGGGTGCGCCGGGGGTCCAGGATGGTCTTCACCTTGAGCGGCAAGGCGATGCAGAGGCATCTCTCGAGGGTGATGAAGGCGGTCAGACAGCAGGTGACGCGCGTGAAGCCCACGTGCGCCCAGCCAACGGTTATGAAGGAGAGGTCGTACGGCTCGAATGAAAGCTCAAGGTTGTAGAACGCCGGGGTCTGGCAGATGTTGAAGAAGAATAAGGTCACCAGAGAGCAAAGGTCGGACACCGTCAGGCCAAAGAGGCTTATGTTGACCGTGTCCTTGAACCCGAGGCGGATGAATATCAGAATGTTCAAAATGTTGGTTAGGATACCGAAAATGTTGATGGCCTGCCCCAGACTGGCGTAGTTGATGAAGAATAAGTCCTGAGCCAGTTGGTCACTAATGATCTGTCTCATCGGGTAACCGCCATTTTCGATATTACTGTTGTTTGTCACTAAAAGATCTTCCATTTTACTTGATCAATATATAACTTACAAAATGTAGATCAATCTCAGACAACTGAAGAAAATTTTTTTTTTGAAAATGTCACAGTCTCTCTACGCTCATTTACAATCTGTCTGATCAGTTCTGTTGTGATAAAACGTCCAACCACTTTCGAAATATTTTCATTGTTTGTTTCAAAGAAAATTGAAAGAGAAACAAAACTCTCATCGGACAGCCTGTGGCGTTAAAGACATTTTAAGACGACTTTTCTACACACTTGATGAGTCAAAAACATGGGAAACAATTCCATAAGAAACTGTTTTTCTTTTAAAGACTAATTTTAGCAACACAGCCCCCCTTTTTCGGTCAATGAATTCTCCAGTTATGAATGTCCCACAACCCGACGATGTAGTCCATCTAACGATTCTTACCACCGAGCTCAACATGTGAAATATAATCACTAATACTATTTGAAGAGTATAACGTGTGAGGACAAAAGAGTTTTACCCCCCTAATGATTTAACAGCCATCTTTCCCTTTTCGGTAAAACTTTCTGAACAATTAGCTGCTTGAAATATGTGATTTCGAGGGATTTTCTTTGTTTGAATCGATGACAGGTTGAAACGCTGGAAACTCTGGGCTATACTTATCATTAACGATAGACCGTCGTCACCAATTCACGATAATCAAGATACTAATCAGTTGTTAAGGGAAAGGCTGCTCTAAAATTATCTTACCGGGCGCATTAAAATAATAACTGATATTTATAATAATTATCATACTACTTGACACCGTCCTTAGTAAGGGGTGTTCATTGTCAGAACTAATTGATAGGTGCAGAATGCGCTCATAGATAATAAAACGCGAAGACATTTAGCCTGGCAACGGTGAAGTGTTATGAACAATCGCACCGAAATTTAGTTTTAAAACACAATTAATCACGAAATGTTTAAATAGGCCTGGTTAGGTTGTGCGAACAAGCTGATGGTAAGACAAGCGCAAAATGATGTGTAGCGAAATCATAATATGTCGCAGAGTAATATCTCCCGTAGGGGTGTGTCGCACCCTGGTATTTCCCGCAAAGGTGTGCCGCACAATTGTACCCCCGTCAAAGGTGTGTCGCCGAGAAGTTTATCACATAAATTTTGTGTAGCTTCCGGTGATGCGCGCACATTGTTTTGTTATTCAACTGATGTTTCGAGTCCTACACTTCGCTAGTCTTTTACTGTTATTTCAAACTCTCTAAATTCAAATCAATTCGTATTTAGTTGATTCTCTGGTGATAGCTTTATGTTCCAGGTTGTCATTTCAATTTGATGTAGAGTTCCTGGTGTGCAAATATACATCTACTTAATTATAATCATTTTCTTACTTGATTATAATCATTTTCTTCAAACTCCGACAATTAGCCTTTAAAAAAATGGATCTCTCCCTTAATTTCAATATATGTTCCACTTATTAACACCGAGCAACAAAGGATCGAACGTCAGACTATTATATAAAACTAGCTCCTAGATACCAGGTAAACATATCAACATGTTATTTCAGATCATATTACGGATAAAATGAACATTCTTGGCGTGCAGCTATTAAGAGGCACCAATTACAATAAACTCTGTAGTTTATACGATTCCAGTTCCCAAAACAAACAAAAAAATCTTCCGGAACCGACATCCAGGTCACGTATCGGGTTACGATCGCCCTGACCCCGAAGTACTCTTAAGCATCTGCCACTTGTGTACAGAAAATTTCAGTAATATCCGTTCAAAAGTTAAGACAAGTTTCTTTCATTATTGAACACGCCACTAAGATTGCCTATATAAAGTGTTCTCTTTAAATGGTCAATAAATCATGTAGCCCGTTAGTTAAGGAAGAAGACAACATAAAAACCACCAATCACATGGCTACCAAAGGGTAAACGCGCGTGGCGCTCTAGCTAAACATTCAGCACGTGGGGTTTCATTTTAATGAGTTTAATCACCGAGCCTCGCAAGAAGGACTACAGTCATTATGTTTACCGAGGTAACTGCCAGTGATAATTACCTTTCCAATACCAATGTAGCTACAATTAAGCTCGAATAATTATTTCGCCAGTCTTAACGATAGACAAACATGGCGCTGTTAATAAACACTGCTAGTGAAAGTGGCCGTAGCTACTTCTGTTGTGTGTAGTGGTTTGAAGACCGTAGCTACTTCTGTTGTTTGTAGTGGTTTGAAGACCGTAGCTACTTCTGTTGTGTGTAGTGTTTTGAAGACCGTAGCTACTTCTGTTGTGTGTAGTGGTTTGAAGACCGTAGCTACTTCTGTTGTTTGTAGTGGTTTGAAGACCGTAGCTACTTCTGTTGTTTGTAGTGGTTTGAAGACCGTAGCTACTTCTGTTGTTTGTAGTGGTTTGAAGACCGTAGCTACTTCTGTTGTTTGTAGTGGTTTGAAGACCGTAGCTACTTCTGTTGTTTGTAGTGGTTTGAAGACCGTAGCTACTTCTGTTGTTTGTAGTGGTTTGAAGACCGTAGCTACTTCTGTTGTTTGTAGTGGTTTGAAGACCGTAGCTACTTCTGTTGTTTGTAGTGGTTTGAAGACCGTAGCTACTTCTGTTGTTTGTAGTGGTTTGAAGACCGTAGCTACTTCTGTTGTTTGTAGTTGTTTGAAGACCGTAGCTACTTCTGTTGTTTGTAGTTGTTTGAAGACCGTAGCTACTTCTGTTGTTTGTAGTGGTTTGAAGACCGTAGCTACTTCTATTGTTTGTAGTGGTTTGAAGACCGTAGCTACTTATGTTGTGTGTAGTGGTTTGAAGACCGTAGCTACTTCTATTGTGTGTAGTGGTTTGAAGACCGTAGCTACTTCTAGTGTGTGTAGTGGTTTGAAGACCGTAACTACTTCTATTGTTTGTAGTGGTTTGAAGACCGTAGCTACTTCTATTGTGTGTAGTGGTTTGAAGACCGTAGCTACTTCTGTTGTTTGTAGTGGTTTGAAGACCGTAGCTACTTCTATTGTTTGTAGTGGCTTGAAGACCGTAGCTACTTCTATTGTTTGTAGTGGTTTGAAGACCGTAGCTACTTCTATTGTTTGCGCAGGATTTTCATTTAATAAAATTGTTAAAAATGGTGGTTTTACGGCTGATTAAATTCTAATTGATTTAATTTTTGCATTTTATTTAACGAAACAATCTATTAAACGCTGGAGCGAGCGCCCAAGCGCCCAGGCGGGGGGGCGTGGGTGAGGGGCCCGTGTGGGGGCCGTCCTGACGAGTGGGCATCTCCAACGTGCCGCTCCGCGGCCTGATACGTCGGACCGGGGAGGGGTAATTTGGGGGGGGGGGCATAAGAGTCTAGACTCGCCCCGCTGACGCCATTTCTTAATGTAAAAGTAAACGCTGGACGGAAAACGAGACCGATTTTACGGGGTGAATGACGTAATAATTCCTTGCCCGTGTGGGGGCCGTCCTGACGAGTGGGCATCTCCAACGTGCCGCTCCGCGGCCTGATACGTCGGACCGGGGAGGGGTAATTTGGGGGGGGGGCATAAGAGTCTAGACTCGCCCCGCTGACGCCATTTCTTAATGTAACAGTAAACGCTGGACGGAAAACGAGACCGATTTTACGGTGTGAATGACGTAATAATTCCTTTCAGTTGATCCTGATCGCGTGACGTTAAGATTATGGTCAGTAAATAGATGGTGACATTAATGTCCACCAGATGACAAGTATCTTTGTGCGCCAGTTATGAAAATTAGTTGTTTATGACAGCACCATCAAGGTTGTGAGGACCAACAGCAGCATTTAGGCATCATGCGTCAACTGACTTGAACCAGGCCCTGGGTAGTCAAAAAGAATGATTAAACTCTGCCCTGGGTGGTCAAAGCGCGCATAAAGAATGATTAAACTCTGCCCTGGGTGGTCAGAGCGCGCAAAAAGAATGAGAATGGCAATTGGGAGTATTGCTTAAATAGCACAGAAGATGATAACTAGAATCCCGTGCCTACATCGTTTCACGGGTGATGGGTGGAGAAATTACTGTGCCAACATTTCTCATCTTATCATAAAGGCCCAAGTAGAATTTCGGGTGCATGTTCTGCATACGTCAAAGTGAAAAAAAAGGGAAGTACGGAAAATAATGGTGGCTTTTAAAACATGTATTTGTTTCCCTATAACGTATAACTTAAATTACAGGTGCAACACATAAATTACCCGGTACCATTATTTACAAATCAATTTAAATATCGACCTTTGTGTTTAAAGGAAATAGATTGTAATTAATATAAATAATAAGCGAGTGTGTCATAGATTTTCAGCAGCATATCGTCTTTTGCAACATGAATATTTTAACTTCAGTATTTAATAATTGAGTATATTTTGTTAACAAATTAGCTCACTTGGAGAATGTTAACTTCTGTAATTTCATGGTATTGGATTCTGTAAGAGAGAGAGAGAGAGAGAGAGAGAGAGAAGGGGAGAAATAGAGAGAGAAAGAGAGAGAGAGAGAGGGAGAAATAGAGAGAGAAAGAGAGAGAGAGGGGGAGAAATAGAGAGAGAGAAAGAGAGTGTGTGACAAGGAGTTTACGTGCAGACGAAGGCTAAGTTTTTTCCGGGTACCGGGTAATTTGAGATAATACCCGGCGGTTCCGGGTCCGGTTATTTCTATTCAGGAATTATACATTAAAAACGAGAAATCTGTCTCGTCCATTGGTGAAATGCAAAAACCGCTTGTATAGATCCAGTATAGTAAAATCATATGTATAGATCCAGTAAAGGCAAATCATATGTATAGATCCAGTAAAGGCAAATCATATTTATAGATCCAGTAAAGGCAAATCATATTTATATATCCAGTAAACGCTAATCACATGTATAGATCCAGTAATGGTAAATCATATGTGTAGATCCAGTAAAGACAAATCATATTTATAGATCCAGTAAAGGCAAATCATATGAATAGATCCAGTAACGGCAAATCATATGTATAGATCCAGTAAAGGCAAATGATATGTATAGATCCAGTAAAGGCAAATATGTATCGATCCAGTAACGGCAAATGTCATGTTTAAAAGTAAG